CAAAATAAAGTCACAAAAAATAAACTCTGAAAAATTATTTTGTAAGAATTGGAGTATCTCTGTAATTATTTTTGTTTTAAATGTTATATTTGATTTCTATTTATATATACATGTATAATTTTACATAAGTGCATAAATGTGATACTGAAATAATAAAGGATTAATATCCTGAATATATAAATATACCAAAGTATATAGGAAAGAACACTTGTAATCTTCCCCTCTGAAAATATCGTTGAAATAATTATACACGTTTCAATGTGTTTTTAGCCTTTTTGCTATGAGCATTATATATTTATATATATGAAATCATATGCATATAATTCTATATTCAGACCTTTTTGTTTAGACTTAATGATATGCTATATTTTGACCTTTCACCTGTTATGTATTTTTTTTGAAAATAGAATTTTAATGGTTGTATAAATTACATTTTCTGGCTACCATAATATTTAACTCCTCTTTCATTTTTGGACATTTAGATTGTGGCCATTTTTGTTGTTGTTGTTAATGAAAATAATAGTGTAATAACATTGTATACAAAATCATTTTATGTATCTCTGTTTCCTAAGGAAATAATGGAATAAAAGGCAGGAATATTTATGAGGATCTTGATACACATTTCCAAATTGCATTAAAAATTATATTTTTGCAAAGCAATTGAAAATATGTAACAAGAGACATAAAATTTTTATATCCCAATGCAGAAATTGCATATATTGAAATACATTCTGGGGAAATATCCCACAATACAGAAAAAGACATACAAACATGTTTCCTATAGTGTTAAAATGACCAAAAAAATTAGTTATTTGTCTTAGTTGTCCAACATTAGGGAAATGCTGAGTATTATTTTGTATGATTTAATTATGACAACCATTAAAAAATGTTTATTAATAATTATCATATGTAAAATGTATATGTTTTAATATTAAGTGGAAAAATGAAGTACAAACTGTTATATACAGTTTGTTTTCAAATATGTTAAGAAACATTCCAAAAGGAATTTTATCAAAGCTTTAATTGGGGATATAGGATTACAAATAATTTTTTCTTCTTTATAGTTTACCATAGTTTTGTGAATTATTTTATCAAGTATGAATCATTTTCATATTTTGAAAAGTGCCTAAGTAAAAGACAGTTCTTCCTTTGTTGTGTGATTATACATATTTTTTTACCAGATATTACGTCAGTTTTTAATTAACCTTGAGCCGTATTTTCATTTTCTAATGGTGGGAAGCAGTTTTTACATTTTGTTAAGAAATTATACTAGAAATCACAAGAATTTTCTAGCTGCAGGCTGTTCTGAAGTGAGCAGACTGAAAGGGCCTGCTAATTCCAGGATGCTTTTGCTGATTCCACGCGAAAGAGATGGACATGGGGATTAGGATCTGGAATTCTGGTTGGGTTCCTGACTTGCCCAATCCTCTGCACCTCTTAGAAAGTAGCAGCAGGGAAAGTTCTCATCTGATCTATTATTGATCCGTGGAGAATCAGGCAGTGAAGCACTTTCGGAATAGAATGTTCGGCTTCAGGCTGAGAAAGCACTTTTCATTCCAAATCTAACTCAATTTCTATCAGTCAATAATCTGTTTTAGATTTTAGTTTGTTTTTATTTTTTGAAAAAGAAAATTATTTGATGACACATAAAACAAGAAGTGTTTTGAAGGGGATTCACTAAAAAATTGAGGCGTTTCTGTAATTGCTTTTTATATTTTAAATTAAATGTTCACATGTATACATATATAATTTTACATACGTGCATAAATGTGATATCCATTTTTAAGTGAAGTCTTTTTTTTCTTTATATTTTGCTTCCTCCTTCCTTCAGCCCTCTCACTCATGTTAACTACCTACCGTGTAGCCTCAGCAGAACTTTATAACTTCACAAATATGTCAAGTAGGTTTAAACACCCCTTTCCCCTTCCGAATTTGGGTGAATGTTGCACTTCAAATGTTAGCCAGGTTTGAAAGCTCTGTGGCAACAGCTTCTTATTAGTAGCTAGTCTGTGCTGAAACTATACATAGAGAAGTGTTATCTGGTTTTATGTTAAGAATTGAAGATCTAAATGTTGTTTCTGGCAAGTGAGTAGGTTCTTTTTTATGCTACCTCAATTTAAAAATGTTCAAATGTTCTAGGACTTAAAAAATAAAAAATACTTTCCTGCGTGCATTTACAAGGAAGGGCAAAGGAGAGTTTTCTGTAGTGATAGAAGAATTCTATACCTGGGCCATGATGGTGATTACATAGGTGTATAGCATTAATCAAACCCTATTGAACTATATGCTTAAAAGAGGTACGTTTTATCATAGGCAAACTATACCCAAATAAATCTTATAACACAAAAGCATTTCAATTCATTTAAACTCTGGGTTTTAGGATTTGCTCTTAAGACATTGTCATTTGTCACTACATTCCTCGCCCCTCCCCTATCTGTGATCCACCTGTGGATTTCAGATGATTTATTCTATGGGTTAATTTAGGGACACAAAAGTGATGAAGAAGCACAGTGGCCTGTAGATGATAGTGCATCATTCAAGGAAATGTCTTCAGGGCTGCTTATATGGCATTCTCACTGGTCTGCAGAAGCCATTTAGCTCTTTTCTCTTCTACAAGCATCTCCCAAGTGGTGACAAAAGATGTAGAAGGAGGCAGTTCTTGATTTGGTGTCATGGAGACAGAGTTCAGTTCTCTGTTTCAATATTCCTTTCTATCTTTCTCTCTCTGTCATTACTGCGTCAAACATAAGTTGGCAGAAAAATAGGTATTAGTTAATAAAGCAAACATTATTTCCGTGCCAAGCATCTCTCCAACTGCTTGTTACAGTTTCTCAGGCAGTTTTGAGCTCAACTTAATTATGCTTTTTATTCTATTGTTGACTTTAATCATGGTGATGAATAAACTATTTTTCAAGGAATGGCTTCCTAACATATCTTACTCTAAAGTACTCTTTCTTAGAAACAGTTTAGTTTAGACTATGAAAGGGGCACGGCAGATCATTTCCCCTAATCCCTAGTATTTGGCCTTATGTTAGACACTGTTCTTGAACTTGTATGTTGTCAGAGAGAACTGCCTTCCATCTCAGTTCATGTTAAAAGTAACAGAGATGGGGTTCATGTGCACTCTCTATTCATTGTCACTAAGACCCACGGAGGGTCCAATTGTTCTGCCTTCAGCCAAAGCTAAAGAGCAGTGTTTACTGGGGAAGAGATTGCGTGGTAGTGAGCATGTCTGATGGGGAGCTGGGATGGGAGTTGGAAGGTGAGTGTGACCAGCATAGGAAAGCAGACTACTAGATGACTCTAGTCACCCCTGTCTCAATCTTGAAGCCATGTTTCATAATTCTTAATATTTGCAAATTCGGTTTTAAAGTGTCCATTTTGAGAAACAATGCAAATGTGATCTAATGTTGGGTGTTTAACACTGAATAAGTAAACTTATGTAAATAATGAGTAAAATTTGACTGATTAAAATTTATTGTGTAGAATCTAGGATAGCTTATGGTGTTAGATTGAAATTTTTGCTAACTTTTTTGTCAATTCTTTTTAAAAAGCTCGTCTAGATAATACTTTTAATAATAAAATTGAAGCAGGACATTGAAATTACTTATAAGAAAAGACCAACTATTTTGAAGAAAATCAGAAGAATGGATTTATATATGGATGTCTGGTACATATGTACATATGTATCTACTTATTTATTTTAAAATCTCCTCAACAAAGTTCTTGGGAATTCCACTGGAGAATTTTTTTTTTTAGCCTAATATGTTTAAGTAATTAATAAATAACAATAAAACTGTATGTTTAATAAAACTATACAACAATGCAGTTTTTCAATGTACCCAAATTGAGAGAAAGAGAGCAAAGAATATTTACATCATAACACTTAAAATATATAATAATGGCACTGACTAAATGACAAAGACTGTAGAAAGTCATCCAAATATCCGATAAGACTTCTTCTTTACCATTTCTCCGGGAAGCACTTTGTAGTGGACCTGGAACCCACTGCCACACTTGGGAGGATTGGGGGATGACATCGTTCCTCTCTAGGCCTCAGTCCCTGCAGGGGACCTTCCCTATCTGGTTGAGTGTGGTGTGTATGCTTTAAGATGGAGCCAACCACTTTTTAAAGGAAAATGCCTCCATTATTCACAGGGGAATGTGTCTGCTAGCGCCCTGGCTTCTGAAGGAAGAGTGAAAGCCACTCTACAGGAAGCTGGTGAGGGCTAGTTTGCTCCTGAGAAGGAGGAGAATTGCTGGGATGTATGTGAAAGATTGAGAAGAGAGCATTGAGGCGTGGGCCAGTTAGGGTTTGGGGTGACCCCATTCTTGACTGCAAGGCTTTGTTTCTAGATTTATTAAATGCTTGGAGAGAATGGTATTTTGTTTGTTTTTGGAAACTGCTCTACATTGGTGGAACAGAAATCTGAGCACAAATGTAGGAGCTGCATACAAGAGAGGATCATGAAGAAGTAAGCCCTGAGGGTTTCAGACAATCCAATTTCTGATAAAAAACAAACCTTTGCAGGGTAATGACTCTGGTCTTATGATAAAGCAAAACCATGAAAGGCAGAACAGACAATGAAAACATTAGATCTGGGTAACTTCACTGAGCATTGAGTCTAATAACTTCTGAAAACTTTCCTACTTTAGACTTTCAAGTTTATGAAACAATACAATCCCTTTATTATATAAATCTGTTGGAATAGGACTGTCTGTTATTTGCAACAGAAACATCCTGATTGATATAATAAAAAGAGTATTATTACTATATATGTAGATCATACTCTTTAGATCTTAGGTGTACAAATAAGTAAATGACATATTTATTTATAAAAGTTTTGAATAAGCAAGTCAAAGGTATAAAACAGCTCACTGTCTTAGTAGTATTTTATTTGTGAGATAGACATTGAATTATTTGATGCGGAATAGTTTTTAAAGTCTTAAATAGTTTTTATGAATAGTTAGTTGAACATTAGAAAGTATAAAAAATTTACCTCATCTTGGCAACGTGTTTAGGTCTCAACTTCAAATTTATTTTTATATATTCATAGATTTTTTTCCCCATGTACTGGTAAAGCATGATAAATCCTGTCTGGGATAAACATAACTTCTCTCTCTGCAAAAACAAATTTATTTCGGAATTATTTATAGTTGCTTGTGGACCTGTGGTGTTTAAGAGATGTGCAATAATTTCCCCAAAGTGCAAACTTAACCACTTTTTCCTGTACCTTTTGTAATAATTCAGTTTTTTAAAGCTTCCAGAATGAAAATTTTCCAAGTAACCACAGCGTTATTAAGCTGAGAAAATAGGTAAAACCTTATCATTTCAAGTATAGCAATTTAATTACAGACAATTTGAGCATTAGAAAGCTTGAAATAGTCATATATATGGCTGAAAGTACATATTGCATATCCTCATGAATGAGTTTTTTTGTAATAATTCAGTTTTTTAAAGCTTCCAGAATGAAAATTTTCCAAGTAACCACAGCGTTATTAAGCTGAGAAAATAGGTAAAACCTTATCATTTCAAGTATAGCAATTTAATTACAGACAATTTGAGCATTAGAAAGCTTGAAATAGTCATATATATGGCTGAAAGTGCATATTGCATATCCTCATGAATGAGTTTCAGAATTAATTAATTAATTAATTAATTAATTTATTTATATCTCCCATTTTTCTTATCTTTTTGACATTTTCACCTCCAAACAGGAGGAGCTCTTTTCTGGGAATCTGAGCCCAGATCTATTTTCACTGCAGCAACTGTAATTAACCTTTAAGATTCTTTTGTTTACTGAAGAACTGTGACTTGTCACATTGCAATCATGCTCTTGCAGTATGTCTCTTTACTGCTTATAGTCCGAGAGACTTGCTATAGGAGAGAAATAAATAGGGAGAAGTTGACACACATGTGCATTCAGTGTTCTCTATTTGGTATGCATATGTCAATAGAACATAGATATGTATTTCTCTCTCTGTAAATGTGAAAAGGTGGATTTAGGAAACTGAGTCAGCCATACAGTTCTAGAAGGAACTGTACCAGACCAGGAGGGTTTATTGGCCCCATTGGTCACAAATAACACCTAGCTAGCTAGAAAGACCATCCGTGTTGCTGAAAGGAGACAGATGTGCCAGACAACCCCAGGGGACATCTGACTGTACTGACTCTGCAGATTCTAGGCAGATAAAACCTTTAGCTGACTCTCCTAATTAAAATGACATGTTAATAAGACATGATAAAGAAACGATAAACTAAGTTGGGACATTCTGTGACCAAGACTTGAAAGACAGAGATGAAAAGAGGAGGCTTCAGGGAGGAGTGCGGAGGTGCTGGAGGGGAGGTGGGGAAGGAGCCAGATTCCCCACTGAGCCGTGGTCTTGGCCTAACTCCAGTTGGTTACTGGCTCCTTGGAGACAAGAATCTTGTAAAAATGTTCTGCTACCCTAACTTTGAACTTTTACTAGGAAAGACCACTGTCAAAGATGGTTTGGGAAGGGAGTGACCAATCGCAGTTTGTCTAGGACTTTCTCTTATTTTATACTGAAAGTCCCAAGTCTCGGGAAACCCCTCAGTGGTTGGTCACCCTAGAGTCCTGTGATTTGATGCAGGGCTGGTGGTTAGGGACCTTGCAGGAAGCGGTGCTCCCTTGGATGCAGGATTACTAGCCAGGGCAAATCAAAGGAGAAGCAATGGGAGTAAATTGGAAAAGTGTGGTTCACATATGAGACTTTCTTTTCTCCCATTTTATTTTGGATTCCAGGATCGCTTGGTCCAGAGAAGAAGGACAAAGCTGTTACTATTGAGGTTTCATACCACACTTAGTTATCAGGGAGCCAGCAGGTCTGCATTCCGGTTCAGGGGACAGAGATATAGGAATTAGAAATATGAGTTGTAGGGGGAGAGTAGAGACTGGCTATAAAGTAGGTTTCTCCTACCCTCACCTCTGCTATGGCAAAAAGCTGGCTGTTCACTCAACTTCACTCTTTCTCCTGACAGGAAGCAAAGCACATTTTGTAGTTCCTGTTGGAAGAAGCCATCACTATTTGAAAATAAATATGGAAGATACAATCAAATCAGAAAAAATTCGATTTCAACTCAAAATATGTGTGCACATGGGAAGGACACCTGGGGAAAATATATAAGGAGATGCACTAATGCCATAGAACATATTAGGAACAGCTGCCTGTCCTTTTATAGGAATCAGAAAAAAACAATTGCACTTGTTTACTAACGAAAAGGCTTTCCAACATGGGGTGAGCACCTGCGGATGTAAATACAGGAAGGATACACAGTTAAGGGTAGAAGAATCTAGAGAATCATCAGTAAGAGTGGTACAGGTAATAGTGGAGCAGGGGTAACTGGAAGTCAAGCAGGACATAGAACAAGGTACAATTTACATTTGAAGCTGCCTCGGTGACTTCAAATTCTTCATTGTCACATTTAATAGTTTTTCCTTGAAATAAGAGTTCATAATCAAATAAGTTTAGAAAATACTGTTTCCTTTAGCTCCCTCTTTAGCATGTACTTTAGCATGTTGAACTGTTTTGCTTTATTTTCAAAAGTTTATAACCACCTAAATTTATTTTATTTTACATTGATAAAAAATTATTATCATTCCAGGGAAATAGTGGGCCTTAGAACATACTTTCAGAAATACTGCCTTAGAAAGTTTGTTCCTAAGAATAATCCCAGTGAAAAGCTCAGAAAGGAAATTCTTTTATAGGTCAATGCCCTCTTCATCAATGGACTTCCACAATGGAACCACCTCCCTCGACCAGAGGTGTAGGACCAGCATCAGCAACAACTGCTCAAGAGAGTGGTCCCTCTACTAAAACTCAAGTTTGACATTGGAATACCTGGACTTTCAGAAAAGAAGTATTGTCGTATTTCATTGGTGCTCTGCATGATTGAATCTTTGTGAATCTTCTTGTGAATAGATATTTAGAATCCAAAATCTAAAGAGATCAGTCTTTTAGATATGCTGTAAACAAGACAAGAGAAAAGAAAATTAGAAAATTAAAGTCATTCGAAGACCAGAATAATATTTCAATATTAAAAAAACTATTACTTGAAACAGGTATTAAAATTCTTTCTAAAATTTAGATGGAATTAAAAATAAATATTATCATGTTGAGTAAGAGCCCATTAGAAAAAAGATTGCTATTTAGGTAAATGGTTGAATTAGTAAAATACAAATGTAGTTCCTACCCAAGCACTACCTGTTGGAAAGGCAAAACATGGGAAAATTACTTTATAAATATTTTATAACTAGAGAATGTTTTTAGCTGAGCAGCCTAAACATAGCCTTTTATATCAGAAACAATATACTCTCATTTTTATATGATACACACAGGTCATCTATCATTATTTGAGAACATTTTTTTGCACTGCATAAAAAAGAAAGAGGGGGCTTTATTCAGATGAGAGGATACAACAGGCATTGGTTAAGAATACTTAGAAAAAAAGGTGTATTATCTTTCAAGAATTCTTTTGAAAATTTGTTTTGATTGACTTATCCTTTCCGAGATAAATGAAACACTGAAGAGGCTTGTTATTACTTGACTGAAGTATTTTAGAAAAGTAGTTTCTCTCTAAGAGTTATGAGACATAGGGAGGTGGGGAGATACATTGGCCTTGGATGAACCTACGTGCTCTTTCTAGCATTGCCATATTCACGCAGAGGACCATGCCCAAGAAAATTTGTAAATGGTCAGTTTTTCTTGGAAATTCCTCCTTCCAATCTTAGTATCTACATAGGGGTTCAGTCTTTCAGTTCTCCAGATACCAAGGGTCCCTTCTTTGGTACTCCATGCTGGCTTGCTAATATAATGCATCTTTCTTATATCTTACTGAAACTGCAAATCTTACCCTCTTTCCTATTTATAAGAGAAAAACATTGAAAACAACTTAAATATGAAACAGTAATAAAATATTAAAAATAGAGTTCGATGAAATACAAATCAGTCATTAAAATGGTAATTTTGTTTACTAAAGAAATTTAAGTGAAAAAAACAAATCGTATGTATTATATAATCTATATATATAAATTCTATACACACGCATATATTCTACACAAGTACTCTCTCTCTAAACATATTTACACATACACATACACACACACATACTAAAATGTTAAAGCACTTATCTCATTATAATTATAGTTGATTTGTGTCTTCTTTATGGATTAATTCCAAATTTCTTATAATGAACATACATTACTTTCCTAATAAGAAAAAAAACTTAAGAAATGAAACAAGTATTTTTTCACTACGGTCCATTTCTTTGAATCCCTGGTGTTTGCTAGAGGAACTAAATTTACTTATGCAATTATGTTAATATTTGTGGTACAGACCTTGAATTTCGTGTCAAGATGTCTGGAGACTAGACTTGACCTCTGCTGATCAGCTGTGACCTTGGACAAGTTCCCTGGCCTCTCTGGGCCTCAGTCTTCTCATCAATAAAAGAGGGTTAGGGGAGACAGATGACTCCTGAGGTACTTCTCTGGTGAATCTGTGACTGTGACTCCCTCAAGTAAGTTATGGCCACTATAAGGGGCTTGTGCATTGATCCCAAGGAATACATTTATGGAATACAAAAATGACAAACATTTTGGTAACACAAATGGAAGTCTTGTATGAGAGTATCTGTGAGTTTGCAGGCTTTTCCAGGCCCATACTTACCACTCTAGGAAAATGGCTCTCAAACTTGAGCCTGCGTCAGAATTGCCTGGAGATTTGTTAGAATACAGACTGCTGGCCCCCAACCAAGAGTTTCTAATTCAGTGGGGCTGGGATGGGACTGGAGAAATTATGTTTCTTACGAGTTCCAGCCACTGCTGGTGGTCTGGAAGAAACCTCCCTAAAGAAAATATTCTGGTTAGGAGAGGATATTTCAATATCTATGTTTTAGATCTCTCTCTTTTTTTTCTCTCTCTAAAATACTTAGAAAAATGTTCTGAAGATGACTCAAGGATATCTTCAAAGCCCTTTTTTTATTTTAAAATAAGCTTATTTGAAAACATTATTCCTCTGGATGCTCTAAGCTGGAACAAATGAAGAGAATAATGAGAGGCTTGGGTCTAGAGGGTGGGACAGAGAAGAGAAAATGTGTCATTTCAGTTGATAGAGTCTGCTGCACATGGCAGGCACACAGCTTCATTGACTGATGAATTAGACAGTAAGATGGCTTTTCTTGTGGCGCACATTTAATCAGGATGGTTTCAGGATGTCACAGTTACTTGATTGGTACCTGGGTAAACCCTCACAGACATTTCCCCTTTCTTGTTACCCAACTTAGGAAATTGGTGGTAGTCTATAGGGGTGGACATCAGAGTCGTCAAAACCAGACAGGATGCCCGTAGAGCTATTCCCATTCCAGAAATAAATCATGTATTGTCACTTCCCATATCCTTTGCACACACCGCAATGTCTGCCTAAAATGCCACAGCTAAGCTGCTGCTTTTTCTCTTTTGTTTTAATAGTCTCTGTAAATGAATTTAACTTACGATTTCTTACTGTCATTGTTCAGTGCAGTACATCTTCCTCCATGGAGCCGGAAATATCTTGAGCACACAGCTGGTCTTGTATTCATTTCTGTATCTCTAGAGCCTAATAGAGCATCTGGCTAATGTTTTCTGTTCAAAATAGAGCCATGGATATTCACAGACAAAATTTTATCTTTAATATAAGTAAAATGGTCAATAAAACAAGACCACTCTCAAAAGTAGGCAAAGTATGAAAGATCAAAAACCTTCATACTTTTTTCCTGTTCATACAAACACACCAACTGACCTCCTCCAGTGTCCAGGCACTCTTAGCATGCAGTTTCTCACAGTCTGTTTGCTACAGTGTCTGCCAGTGCTCTTGCAGATGTTTCAGGAATCCACTATGGATTTCTCACCTGACTTCTTCTTTTCAATCTCTAAAGAGGATTCTTGTTTTGTTTTGTTCTCTCCTTAGAGACAAAACAGAACCCCAATATTTCTACAAATAAAATGGTGTGTAAAGTACTTAGTACTTAGAAAGATGCTTGGAGGTATTTGATGCTACCTAGATTTTATTCTTGTTTTTAAAAGAAAATATTTCTCTCCATTTATCTAGCTATTTAAAGTATCTATCCTTATATTTGTATATTATGTATAGAAAAGTATTTGTTGTTTACCTGTTCCTAGTAATGGATAGTTTAGATAGTGGGATTCAAGTGACTTTTAAAATGCTGTTCTTTATCTTGGTCAGTACTGATTATTTGAAAAATGATTATTATTTTTACAATTTCAATTCCAAAATAAAGAATATACTTCCCCTATAAGTGTTTAGAAGATCCCATGCCTTGTCTAATGTCAACATGGAATTATCTGTCCTGTTACTTAGGAGACACAAACATAAAAATGCATAGACTCAAGTTATCAACCCCCAGAGCAGAAAAGTGACTTGTACTTATTTATATAGTGGTTTTGACTCTGGAAATCCTCCTGAGCTGAACCTGCATGCCCTCTCAGTCTGTGGTATGTGGAGCACTCTGTGGGGAGGGAATCTGACATCTTTACAGGTGGATCAAGGAGGGAGCTCTTTCAGACAGCCAAGGTGCTTATGTCTTTAGAATGAGTCAAAGCAATGCTATTTGTCAAGCTTTCCTCCAAGAGGCATGTAGACTCAAGGATGAGAAACAGAGCACAAGGTGGTCAGGATCTGATAGTTTTCCAGGTGAGACGTGATGAAGTGTTCTTGTTCTAAATGTTATTGGTAAAGAATCTTTTAACTTTTTATCTGGATGCCTTTATGGGGTTTTATTGCTCCTATAGCTATATTAGTCCTTGCTGGGAATAGAAAATTAAAATGAAAGTTTTAGCAAAACCCTCCAGTGAGAGATATCAGATAAAATTAAGAGTTGTAGGACTGAGCATCCTCTAGAAATTTCCAAGTTAACATTCAAAAATCAGTAAAATGATTCTAACACATTTCAACCACCTCAAGAATAAAAAGGGATCAATTTTGGGGGATCAAGGAGAATTTGTAAGGAGGATTTCCTTGGAGACCTATCCCTAAAGGGAAAAGTGTGTGTGTGTGTGTGTACATACATGTGTACATACATGTGTACGTATGTACATGCGTACTTCTCCTGCAGGTGAAATCAAGAGGAAGGGGCTTCCCGGCTTCAATGAGGTCACTTGGGGAACTTGATATGTGTCCCCTTAAGTTGGGAGGAAAGAGCAGACTGGTGTCTGACTCCAAATTAGGAAATATTCAGAGTGAGAGATGAGCTGACTACCTGTTGTGGTCCGATTGAATCTATGAGATGGGATAAAAGGCACATGTCAGGATGAGAGGGAACGAAAGTGACCTTGAGGCAGAGCTCTGTGAGCCCCCTTTGAGTCAGTGGCAGAGTACACTTACCTCAGGGAGCGAAATCCCAGAGAAAACATCCTTCTGAGGTAAGTCGCCACCTGAGGACAGTAGCCACCCCAGTACTAGGATTCAATCTAAGCAATGGCCTGCTCCAAATCAGGGATGACAGGCCAAAGATAGAATGAGAAAGAGGGTCAGTCAGGTCACATATGTTAAGGTACAGTTGGAATGAGTCAGAATTATGGCACCAGGTTTCCATATGAGACATCTTACACAATGACCAAAACATTAGTTGGTCTCACTTCTGCTGAATAAAGCCATGCCCTCAAATGGAAATTAAAACAACAATCACAACTTCGAACCAAGCAACTGATAAACAAAAAACACTTGTTGGCAGTTCACTCCTCACTAAATTTGCAACAGATTTAAGGCAGTTCACCAGTCACTAAATTTGCAACAAATTTAAGGAATATCAATTAGAAGAGTGGGGGCAGATGATTGGTTTGACCTGGGGTACCAACATGTCATGGTTTAGCCTTGTGCCTGGGACTTTTATTGACTCTTCTGTTTTGGTCCTAAGCTCATTCCTCTATGCTTGTGGGGTCTTGTCTCTAAAACCTCATCTTACATCTTACTTGCTTTGCATAGAAAACACAAGATTGGGGCATTTTGAGTACAGACCTATAAAATCAGAAAATTGTAAGCCTATTCTATATAAATCAATTTTGGTTAAAAAAGTATAACTGAATTTGATGGATTTTCAGTTCCAACTAGAAATTGTTTATAAAGAACCAGGAAAAATGGGAAATATCTTGAAACATGAGATTTAAGAAGACAAGACTTAAATTAGTCATTACATCTTAGATGGATAAGGTGACAGTGAGAAATATTTTTGGAATATTTACTATAAACTTTAAGTTAAATGTAAACTTATTTTATATCTTTTCATCATAAAATTAAATATTTCTCTCTGTTTGCTATGAAGGGCATTCAACTTTCTGAAAATATTGAGATGCTGATTTAAGTAGTTTCAAGGATTGTTGACTTATAAATTCCAAACTAGACTATTATATATAAAGAAACCTAATTTATTGGAATGTTTATTGCAGAAAGCTATGTCTTTTTACCTAAAGTTGTAAATTATGTTTTTCATGGGAGATTGATCTATCATAAGAGTTTGAATGTTGGTGATAATTAACTGGTGATAGCATTAATCTAGCTCAATTAACTCGATTAGCAAAAAAAGGATTGTGTAGATTTTCTTAAAATTAGGAACATAGTTAAAGATGTAACTCTTCTTTGTGATATTTATTTACAACTAAAGTC